TGTTGACCTGCTCACCAAAAGATGAGTCATTGGAGACCACCAGCCACTCTGTGGGAGAGAAAGATGAGGTTTTCGACCCCGTAAAGTGTTCCAGCAGTTTTGGAAACCCACAGCGGCAGCTCTACCCAGTCCTATAGGGTTGCTATGGGTTGGAATTGTGTTAATGCCAGTGAGTTTTGTTTGTTTCCTGGTTGGTAGATAATTAAACATCTGCTCAGGCAACATTTTCTCCACGGACAATTCCGTGACTTTGATGGCATTCTTCACAGTGTGCCACCATCATCGCTTGTCTCCCAGAACACTCCCCCCACCACACACACGTACTTTTGTGCAGTCCACCTCGCCGTCTAGGGTGGGAACAGGGCTTGGTACCTTCTAGCACAGTTGTCTCCTCTTCCTTCTTGTCGAGCACGAGCTGCTCCATTTCTTTCCTCAGATCCTCCTGGTTGAAGTTGCAGCCGTCGAAGGCATCACTGACAAACTCTGACACACCTGGGCTGGTGGAAATCTCCTCCTCCTCCTGCGACTCAAGACAGGTGCGCTACTGAGAGACCCATGGGTGGGCGAGTTCCTGTGTCGTGTGTAAGTCCTCTCCCAGGGGAAGGTTGTGCCACTGACATCTCCTGCCTCTGCCAACTAAAGACAGGAGGAGCCTGGCTCTTCCACCTTCTAACTGGCCCAGGGGTTCGCTGACTGAGCGAGTTACCACCCAGCTCTCTTGGTCTTGCTCCCAGGGTATCATTCTACTCAGCATCTCATCCCCAACGGGCACAGCTGTGCCATGTGCCTCACCCAGTCAAGCCCTGGCTGCCTCCTCCTCAGGGCAGAGAAGCTCTCGGCTCACAGAGCAAGCGCTAGGACACCTGACCTTGGGGACTCATTTCCAGCCACCAACCCGCTCAGAAAACCGCATTACCTCTTGAGTTTTAAGCTGAGATTTGATTACAACAGGTGGTGTTTTGGGCCGTACTGCCTCTAAGAAGTGAGAATAAGAGAGACAATAATTGCTTGATTCAATTCTGAAGACATGTTGTAATGAACAGCTAAGATACCCACACGTATGATGATATGAAATCCTATTTCCCCAAAGAAGCTTTCAGGTGTGCCTTTCAGCTTTTCTCAGGTTGGCAGAGGAACCAGCCATGTGGGAATACTGTTTCATATACCATATGCAATGCCCTTTTGTACGATTTCAAGAAATTTCAGTACTAGGACAATCGTTGTAGAAGGGTTCTGCTGTTTCTCTTAGGAGAATGAGAAATTGTCTATCAAGTTTCCCCTTTGTCCCCGGTCACATTTGAAGCTTAGCCCAGCACCCTCACAGGCCTGGCACCCTATCCTTCTCACCATCCTCACTTTCTAGTGGACTAACCGGGGTCTTTACAGAATGTGGTCTGCAGTCCAGTTTGTTGGGAAGGTGGCCTTTTGGGGTAAAAGTCACAAAAAACAATGGTGCAGGATAGCCGTTGGCTGCATGCTAACATCACCGTGGAACACGGCAATGTTACTGTGTGAGCAGATACACCCCTTCCCCAGCCCGCAGCACCATTTCCTCATCTCCTGTGTGACGTGCATAATCTGGTCTGGGTACGTTCTGAACATTGCAAATTACTACAAACACAGATAGCCGTCACCTGCCTTCCCCACCCCCTGTAGGGCTGGCTTCCCTTCAGATTAGTACCTAGACTTAGCATGGGCAAGTAATCAACGTTATAAAGACACTTCTGACTTCAACGATCATTCCAGAAGTTAACACGTCTCGCTAATATTGTGAAACCTCTTTGCCAACAACCTGGGGCGCACACACTGTCTCCATGAAAGCTCGCAGGTGGCTGCCTTTGGGCGTGTTCTGCATGAAGCTGGACATGGAGCGGGGACTGGAACAAAGTTCAGCCCTACGCTGGTGAATACAGTTCATTCAGGACATGCCATGCCAAACCTAACAGAAGGTGGAAGAGGCAACGATACCCCCAAGCGCTGGCGTAAGTCCCAGTGGAGGAGACCGGCTCTAACAAGCCTTGGAGGAGAGGCCAAGAAAAGCAGGGCAGGGAGGATGAAAGGGGATGTGAACAGGAGAACTCAGAGGCAAAGCAAGGGCTGAGCGCAGGGCCAAGGTAAGGGCAGCCTGGGGCTGCCACGTGTGAGCTGGCTCAGTGATGCCAACAGAACAAGATAGGGATGTCCTCTGGGCGGGGGAGAATGTTTCCCTTAGGACCTCGAAGTTTGGGGCATGCACAAGACCACAGGGCCTCTAAGCTCTATTCCAAAAGTTGAAAGCAATTCTTTCCATGGAGCGAAGCGTTCCTCTCTGTAGGTACCTGTCAGTGGCAGCTCGTTTTCCCGGCCTGGGTTCCGCTCCTCCATGGCAGCGGCAGCCTGCTGCTGGGCAGCCAGGGCTGTCAGCTGTGCGGACTGCTTGATCAGGGAGACACGGTAGAAGTAGTTCCTCCAAAACACCTCTTCCTTCACGCTGAAAGAGACAACAATCCCATCTGAGGACGCAGGGAAGCCATGCACATGGGGGAAGAGAGGGGACTGGGAGAGATGGCATTTGGGAGCACTTTCACATCCCAGTGAGGGTCACAGGAGAGTCTCACGTGTGTTAGCGTGGAAAAGCTGAATAATAGGAAGAAAAAAGAAGAAGAAACCCTGAACTCCCCTTTCAAAGCAGCACAAGCCAACTTCCAAAGAAACAGTTGCTGTGGTGTTGCGGCCCATCGAAGGCGGCCCGTGTGTGGCTCAGTCAGCAGAATTGGACTTCCCAGGGGCTTCTTTCGTGGTTCGAGTTTTAAACTGTTTACTGGGACTTGGGATATGGTTTACAGAGGGAACTGGGTTTTCACTCAACAACTCACACACATTTTAATTCTTGACACTGACTGCAACGGTCACGTCACCACAGCATTCTTTCCCCCTCTTCCCTGTCCTTCCCAGCCTCCTTCTTTCCTGCTCCTGCCTGCTGATGAGCTTTGTCCAGGGGCAAATGCTGCCCTTTGGCCTTGTGTGGCTGATGGTTCTAAGGAGCGATGCGATGAAGTTCAGTACTTAGCGTGGCCCTTCTAGCCACCTCCAGTTTGGGATGTATTGTACATTCTAGCCTCTACTCCTGTGGTTCTAGTCCTCTTTTGGAGTGAGTGAATGCTATGCTAGTGGAGCCCTGGTGGCATTGTGGTTCCATGTGAGGCTGCTAACCACAAGGTAAGCAGTTCAAAACCATCAGCTGCTCCCTGGAACAAACAAACCCACAGGGACAGTTCTACCCTGCTCCACAGGGTCACTCTGAGCCACCGTCAACTCTAGGACAGTGGTTGGTTGGTTTGGGTGTGTGTTGTGCGAATGAGACAGGACTAAGGCCGTCATCTAGTCAACTCTGACTCACAGCAACCCTGTAAAGACAGGAGAAATGCCTCTGGATTTCTGAGGCTATCCATCCTTTTTTTTTAAAAGTTTTATCGGCACTTCATCCACAAAGCATACACTTCAATAGATCAACCATATCAAGAGTTGTATAATCGTTACCACAATCAATTTTAGAACATTTTCTTTTCCTCCATAGCTCATTGTTACTCATGTATTTTTTTCAAACTTGGCAAAAATATACACAACAAAACATTCTCCAATTCAACATCTTCACGTATAATTCAGTGCCAATGATTATACTCTTCGTGTTGTACAGCCATTACTGATATCGCTCTCCAGATTGTTCCACCACCACCAGGAAAATGAACCCAATTCCCCCTAAGCAAAAACTCGTCCTCCTTCACCCTTGGTAACCGGAGGTCAAATTTGGTTTCTTTTTTTAAGTAGGTTTTTGATAGGATATTCACATATCGCACACTTCCAGAGTTAAATGGCTTTAAAAGTGAGTTGTACATACATGATCACAATGAACCCTACTGCTCCCTCCCTCCAGCTGTAGATCTTTAGAGGAGCAGAAAGCCTGATGCTTCTCCCAAGGAGCGCTGGGGGTTTCAAACTGCTGACCTTGAGGTTAGCAGGCCAATTGTTAATCTACTGCATCACCATGGCTCTCCACCTTACCAGGGAGGTGTGATTCAAGTCACCATCCTGTTTCCTTGGGGGTATGATCTGCCCATTTGCCCTGGGCCAGGTGGTAAAAAAGGACACCTCCATGATGGCCCTCAATGTGGGCAAGATGTGTGACCTCCCCTTCTTCCTAACTGAGCATGCGCAAAAGACTAGTGCTCAGTCCTTGGTGACAAACACTAATCAGATGCCAGTCATTGCCCTAAAAGTCTGCTGGGTGGTCCAGGATGTGGGTAGCCATCTTGATGTGAGTCCCAATGTACTTTTTCTGTCGGGCTAAGCAAGTGAGCAGAGCCCTGATGGTGTAATTATGTGTTGGGCAAGATCAGCAGTTGGAAACCACCAATCTCTGTGGGAGAAAGGTAGGGCTTTCTACTCCTGTAGAGTTACAATCTCAGAAACCCACAGGGGCACGTCAACCCTGTCCTATGGGGTCAGCATCGACTCCATAGCAGTGAGTTTGAAGCAAGTGTGAGGAGCCCTGGTGGCACAGTGGGTTACGTGTTGGGTTGTGAACCACAAAGCCAGCAGTTCGAACCTACCAGCCACTCCAAAGGAGAAAAATGAGGCTTTCTACTCCTGGAAAAATGTATAGTCTCAGAAACCCCCAGGGGCAGTTCTACCTCAGTATCGGGTCTCTGTGAGTTGGAATCAACTTGAAGACAGTGGCGAGAAAAGCGAGTGAGACCTGCTTTTACTTTGGGGACGTTTTGCTCTCGTGGTTTAGACCCTGCCTCCACCTGACCTCCAGTTTCTGTAGCCCTGTGGAGGAAGAGGCCCCTCGAGAAGGACAGGGGAACTTTGGACTTATCAGCCTCCACAAACATGTGAGCCATTTCCTTAAGGGACAAAGTCCAGGGGGTCCACCAGTTCTAGCAGACCAGTAAGCCAGGTCTTTCCCCCACTCTATAAAGGACCTCCTGTTGTGATCCCTTTCTGAGCTTTGGGCTGGCACTGGGAAATAGGTGCCACCTTGGTTCTTCTGATCTCAGACTTGTGAAGGCTGGGTGTGGTTTGTGTGGCCCCATTAACCCTCTCGACTCAATCACCTGCCCCCCACCCCGCCCCCCCCTCTGGATGGGGAGAAAGCTCCATGGGGTTTTCAGTGGTTGGTTTTTCAAGTCCACTACCAGATCTTTCTTCCGAGAGTGCTCTGGGCAGGCTTGCACCTGCCACCTGTTACCAGCTGAGTCCTTAATCGTGCACATCACCGAGGGACTATCCCAGCCCCAAAAGCCTGTCCACATACACAGTGGCCAGGTGCCTTGAAACAGGAAAAGCAGCAAGCCTGCAACATCAAAGAGCCCAACACACACACACACACACACACACACACACACACACACAGAGAAAACCACAGCGAACAGACATGGATACTGCATGTTCTCAAGGGACAGTGAGATCCTGCTGCACCCGCACAACAACAATCACTGTGGTTCCTTGCTGTTGAGTTGACGGAACTCATGGCACCCCCCAGGTGTGCAGAGCAGTGCTGCTCCCAGGGGATTTCAAGACTGGGACCTGTAGGAAGCAGATCACCAGGCTTGTCCGTCCAAGGGCACTTCTGGGTGGGCAAGCCCTTAACTTTGTGTCCCCCAGGGACTCTGTGTCACAAGAATGGAGTGCTATGGAAAAAGGGATACTTGCAGCGTAAGAAACGGCTCGGGATTTAGAAACAATGGCAAAAGCAAGCCAAGGGAGTAGGCGACAAGTGAGGAAAGCCTGTAAACGAGCCAAGAGGAACAGCACCCTCTGCTGGAGGGGTATGCCAGGGCTGTGGCCCAGCAAAGGTGCTGGAGCTCACAGAACTAGTAGGGTCTCTTGTCAGAGAGAAGGGCTGTGGCAGTGGGACACAGCGAGAAGGCAGGGGGGAACACTGCTGCTGGGGAGGGCCACCGCCGCAGACATGACCTGCCATTAGCCACACGGCACGCTGATGGTTCCTCTAGGAACATGTGCTCGTTCTTCTAACAGGATAACAAGAGCACGTCTCACTGTTCCACCCCACACCCCCACACCCTGCCATGGCTTACAGCCTTGGTGGCACAGTGGTTAAAGCACTCTACTGCTGACTGAAAGGTGGGGGTTCCAACCCACCCGCCACCCTGAGGGAGAAAGATGTGGTGGCCGGCCACCAAAAAGATGACAGTCTGGGGCCCCCAGGAAGGGATGGGGGCCACTGTGCTCTGTCCTGGGCGGTCAGTCTGAGTTTGGTTTGGGGGTGGTGTTCTCCCTGGGGTGGCGCCCAGCTTACAGTTTGGGCACCAGGGCGAATCTCATCCTGCTCAGCAGTTCGTCTTCTTGGAGCATGACCAGGGCCACCGGGTGCATCTGATCAAAGTCAAAGTTGAACTGCACCCCAGCTGGGGGGTCCCGGAGGAAATTCCTCTTGTCCTTTGAAGCAAAGAAAAACATCAGGGCTGAGAACCACAAAACGCAATTACGATCCATCGTCACATCACAAATGGGACAGGGCGGACTGCAGTCGCCAAGTCCACCTGAGAGGGACCTGAGAGAGTTGGTCTCCTCGGGTTGGTTGCTCCAAGGAACAGCTTCCTCGCGGGCGTCACCAGTCACTTGACAGACCTGTCTGTTGTGTGGCTAACGGTGACGCCTGGAGATGGGTTCAGTGACAGACCTGCAGGATATCTAAGGGGCACAGTCTCGGGTGCCACCCATCCCTCTCAGGCCGGTAACCGGGTCTTTCTTATGATATTGAATTTTACTCTACAGTTTTTTCTCTTCTTTTAAAAATCATTTGATTTGGCCCTCTTACAGCTCTTATAACATTCCATACATCGAGTTTATCATTTGTACATATGTTGTCATCATCATTTCCAAAACTTTTTCTACTTGTGCCCTTGGTATCAGCTCTTTTTTCCCCCTCCCCCTCCCTCGTATATCCTTGATCAATTATATATTGTTAGTATTTACACTGTCCATTGTCTCCCTTCACCCACATGTAATCCTACATTTTCCTCTGACTTTCTCCACGACTTTCTATTATGATCCCCTCCGAGCACTCACGTGTGCTAGCCGGGCACCCTCTAGTTCTTCCAACCTTAGGGTACTACAGGCTGTGGTTAGTGTGAGGAGTTTTATTTCAGTCAATTCGAAGAAAATCACCTCTAGTGTTGCCCCTAGAGTATGACTTCTGGGCTGGCACATTAGCTTTCACTGGTAGATGCCCAGGGCCCATCCCCTGTGGAGTGACTGTGCTGTCTGAGGTGGGGAGTCTTCCAGGGCCCTTCGGTGGGCTTTATTTATTTGCCTTTTAATTGTGAATCAGGTGAAGGTCTACAGAGCAGAACCAGTCTCCATTGAACAATTCACCCACTTGTGTCATGCCATCAATTGCAACCCCCTCGATGTGACATCATTACTGCCCACTTCCCTTCCTATTTCAGTTGATTTCACTTTCACACAAGCATCTCTAACAGACCAAGAGAAAAACTGGAGTATGATCATTTCATACTGAAGTAGGATGCTGATCTGAGATTGGAAAGAAAAAGTTCTCTCAACGTAGAAGAAGCGGGTTTTAAAGGCTGCAAGAGGGATCTCGTGGGGGCAGGCTAGACTTGCACATCAAGCAAAGAGACCTTAAGGATACACAAATGAAAAGTTAGTAGAGGGGACAAAAGCAGAAGAGAGGGAGCAGGAGTTCTGGGTACTTTCCCAACGTTGCAAATTACTGAAAATTTGGGTAGCTAAAAAAATCTTTCTGCCCAGGCCAGAGTCAGGCCAGCCGAGCTGCAGCTTGTCTGCAGCAGACAATGTGTTCTACAGATAGTAAGTTGTGTTATAAGAAACTTACAGCTGATAAGGCCAAGATTTGCTGTTGGATTGTTTCCTCATCGTTACTGTCAACCCATGGAGGCACTGCTGCTTCTGGAAGGCGTTGAATGGCAAGAGGAAAAGGAACAATGGGTTACGATGGTTCCACTGCAGTGAGCCCCAAATCTGATCATGGACCACAGCACCCAGATTGAATTCAGGAGTCTACTGCATGTGTGCATTTGGTACAAAAACAACTAAACAAAATCACCTTGCTTGAATTTTATAGTGGGGAAACCGGAGCATCCCTTGACCAGGTGATTATAGAGTCAACATCATGTGTGAGGGAGGGACAGAAGGACAGACAAGACAGGCAGCATGGACCTCCAGGTGTGTGATCCTGTCAAGGATACATCACCAAGGCGTCTTCTAGTGCAGAAGGGGCTGCCTAGTGTAATCAGAAGACAGTTTGGGAGATCACTTAGAACTGGAGACATGAGGAAGCCAAGGAAAGTTTGAAACAGCAGCTGGGGCGGGCCTGCTAACTGTCTCTGAGAGATGCGAAGGCCAGGCTCAGTCTGGATGGCCAGCCTCTCGAGAAAACCCACCTCCCGCCATCTAGCCAATGAGTTTCCCAGATAATAACTCTTTACGGAAGCAGACGGCCTCATCTTTCTGCTGTGGGGCCAGTTCCCCGGAGGGGCCACTGGCTGAGCCTAGCTGCAGGGAAGAACGGACTTCTTCCCTTTCAGCCACCAAGGGTTATTGGGTTGTCTTCGTGACAAGAGATGGGGCTGTTTCTCACACGTTTCTGTACCCTCAGATCCTTCCCGTGGGGTCTGGCAGGTCGCAGGCCCAAAATCCAAGTGGACAAATTAAGTAAGTCCCATCACACCAACCTATACCATACCTGACTTCTTTGTGTGTTGCGCCTGAACAAATTTCTCCTGCTCCTTTTGGAAAGCCCCTAAAATTGTCTGTGAAAATAACAAAACAAAGAGCACCAAGCGTTAGATTACTTTGAAATGCTTATTAGGTACGAAAGTCCTGTATGAGGCCCTGTACTCAGGTTGCCTGAAAAAGCGGCCCTTCTCCATGTCCTCAACAAAGGGCAGGCACCGACATGTTTGACATTTAAGTGTATGAAGGCTTATCTTTTCAAATGCAGAAATAAGACAATTTCATTTTTGTATGCTATTCCATAAAATAATAAGGGGCCGATCAAAGCTCATGCTCACCAATAGTATATACAATACAAAGCCCTAAATAATCCTACAGCTAGGCCTTCCCTGGGGGCCTCCTTGGTCCAGGGACAGGCGAGGTCACGGCGGTATGGCAGATTCATCTCCAAACTATTGCCCCGAAGTGAATGTTGCAATAAAGGGAGTGCCGTGGACTTTTTGGTGTCCCTGTGCATATACGTGGGGGAGGGGAGCCTTCAAAGAGTTTGCGGCAAATGAGAATTGAAAGGTAATGGAATAGTGCCGTGACCATTTTGAAGTCCCTTGGCAAAGTTGTGCTTACTGTAGTCTATTAAGTGAGCAAAAGCATTACGGGAGTGTTTCAAATACTGTGAGGATGGAGCAAAGGTGACAATGGAGACACGCAGTGAGCACGTGCGATTAGAAAATTGGCCCTGAGAAACTTGCTTGGCTCAGAGCTGCCACAAATTTTCAATCTGTAGAAACTGCGCTATCTGTGAAGTGCAATAAAGGGAAGAACAACAAGACCAGGTCTTCCCATAGTTATGAACATAAATGAACCCCTCTAGGCCCATTCACTGCAGGCTTTTCTTAATGGACTAGGGTTTGGATCCCCTAATGGTGAGATGAAAAAGCACAGCATAGTATCTTCTGAAATAGTTCTATGAACAGGTTGATCTGACTCAAAAGGATCAATGTATTTTAGAACACATTCCAAGAAAAAACAGTTATTTAAATCAGGTAGTTGCTATCATTGCCATTTGCTAAACAACAACAAACAAGAAAACAACCCAAGGACCCAAAACAATTTAAAAATTCAGAATAATAGGTTTTTTTCCCCCTTCTAGTTGGGAGCGAATACAGTTCCTAAGAAGGGACGGATTGTATGAGTAGCTAGCGAATTTCAGAAGTGTCAACTTCTGAAGCGCATCGCAACCGACCTTATCAATGATGCCATCGATTTTCCCTTCCTCCACAGACTTCTTTATGGTTTGCGCGGTTTTGGCCACTGATTCGGTGATCTTTTTTGTAGCTACCGTTGCAAAGTTAAATAGATAGTCTGCAGAGAAGCAAATAGAGTATTACTTGGGTTCAAGGCTACTGCCTTTGGGGTTTTTCGCTTCCAGAGGATCCAATACTGTGGAGCAAGTTCAAGTTCCTTGCAAATTAAAGCTTGGCATGAGGGACGAGGTCCACTTTCTCTGTAGCTAAGGAGCCCTGGGGTAGAGCGGGTTTGAACCCACGAGCTGCTCTGTGGGGGAGAGACGAGGATGCAAAGAGCTACAGTCTGAGAGACCCTATAGTCAGGGTTGCTGGGAGTCAGAATCCATTCAGTGGCAGGGTGTGGGTGGGTTGGTGTTCACGGCAGCTCAGGGTTCATTTCTCTCTCAACGACCACAGGCTCACCCCAGCTGCTGTTTGAAAGTTTCCTTGGCCCCCTCAAGTCGCCAGTTCTAAGTGATCTCTGAAAATAATCTCCCTTCTGCTGCACAAATCAGATCAAGGTGCCTTTATCCCTTCCTTCCTTGCCAGCCCCCCCATCCCATCTTCCCTTTCTCCTCCTTCCCTCCTGTTCAGGGGAAAACATGCCTTTCCTCTCCCTGAGCCACCTGCTCCATGACCAGTCTTGGGGAATATTTCAGATACAGAAATCTTGGCAAGCCCAGATGGAAACATCCACCTCTACATCCTCCTTGCTATCTCTCTTCTGGTCAGCCCCGATTCAATGGCTGATTTTTCAGAAGTAAATCGCCAGACCTTTCTTCCTTGTCTTAGTCTGGAAGCACAGTTGTGCATCCTAGCAACACACAAGCCTCCACAGACAGGGGGTGGCTGCACTTGGGGTGCAGGTTCAGTAGCCGGGTCTCCTACACAGAAGGTGAGAACTCTAACCCCCACCCCCACCCTGCACTGTAATTTGCCAATCTTTAATTTGTAGAAAGTGTAGTCTCTGTGAAGGGTGCAAATAAAACGAGGTCTCATTCTTAGCTGATACAAACAGGCAAATGTGGAATGACATGAAACCTGGCACATGCAAACCTTCACTTTCACAGACCACTCTGCATGTCCTTGAGGACCGGAAGCGACACCCCACAGGAATTCTCCTGCACTCATAGATCACATTGCAAAGTCCACACACTCGGCAGGAAGAAGAAGGTGCGGGCACGGACCACAGCGGGTGGGCTGGGGATGCTCCTGGTGCCTGCGAGGTGCCTCGGTTAGGGTGCCTGTAGGGCACCTGGCAGCTGTGACTCACAATGGCCAGATGGGAAGGAAACTAAGAGGAAAGGCAAGGGGTGCTTTGCCCACCCAGGTAAATCCTTGCTGGACTGGCGGCATTGCTTCCCAGCACTCAGCCACTTGTAGGGAATTCAGGACAGTGCAGTCAACACTGCCCCTTAACCTCCAGCTTCCTTTTGCCTTGACCATTAACTGGAGTCTCCTTGCCCTTGCTCCATAGCGTCCTTTGGCAGTCACAGCCACACCCCAAAGGGACTACACTTATCTGTCCTCTGGCTCCATTCTTGTCAGCCCCCGAGGGGGAGGGGGGACATTAAATTCATGAGATCAGACAGCTATTCTTTCAGTACCTCTGAGGGGGTGTCAAATATGTCCCTCCCTCAGCTTCTCTAGATGACCCTGGTGTGTGTGGGTTATATGTCGTACTGCTAACAGCAATGTCAGCAGTTTGAAACTACCAGCGGCTCCACGGGAGAAAGATGATGCTTTCTACTTCAATAAAGAGTTGCCTAGTCTTGGAAACCAACTGGGGCAGTTCTACCCTGTCCTAGTGGGTCGCTATGAGTCAGAATTGACTGGATGGCAGGGAATTTTGTTTTTTTTTTTTTGGTTGGCTTCTCTGTTCTCCTGGCCTGGTTAACTTTTACACCCCTGGGGAACCAGTCCCTGGATCTGGGGCTGGAGCAAGTGTCTTGTGAGGCACTCACTCAGCACCTGGTCTGGCCCGGTCAGGACTCAGGACACTCTGGACCCCCGGGTTGACACCGTCTTCCTCACTAGCCTACAAGTCCTCTGAGCCCCAGTGCCTCCTCCGTGAGGGCTTGTGTGGGGTGACACCACCTGGGCTGAGCTTTAGGGTGCTCACATCTGTCTGCTGACCTGAGTGATGTGATAGAGGTGGCGGCCAACCACGTGCTTCTTCATAAAAATATTCTTCGCAGGTAGACAAAAGACATTGAAAGTTCAAATAGTTGAATCCACCCAACTGCCACTGAGCTGATTCTGACTCACAGCGACCCTCCATCAGATTTCCCAGAGGGTCAACTTTTATGGGAGCAGAGAGCCTCGTCTGTCTCCCTTGGAGCGGCTGGTGAGCTTGAACCACTGAACTTGCAGCTTATCAGCCCAACACTAAGCCACAGAGCCACCAGGGCTCCTTCTATAGTACAGGGTTCTCTTTATTAAGATGTTCCCCAGGGGTACATTTTTAATTGGGTTCTACAGTAAGTCTCACTGCCATCGAGTCGATTCTGAATCACAGTGACTCTACAGGACAGAGTAGAAAGCCCCTCAATGGGTTTGCAAGGCTGTAACTCTTCATAGGAGCAGAAAGTCTCATCTTTCTCCCTCGGAGCAGCTGGGGTTTTCAAATGGCTGACCTTGTGGTTAGCAGCCAGTCCCAATGTGTAATCCAGAGGGAGGGATGTTATTTAAAACGGTGTCTTATCATAAAGTTCTATCAGCTGGATGTTAAAAACTGTGGGTGAAGTACACTGACTGCATGGACCCTGCTTAGAGGAAACATAGTTCTGGGGCTCAAAGAAAGTCCATCTCTGAACAAGAACGTCAACGTCAAAGCCAACACAAGGAAGATTACTCATTAAACATAGGAGGAGGACTCAGAGAGGGGTGGGAGCACTGTCGCCCCCGAGCCCTAGGAGGCTAGGAGGCCTGGACTCTGAGGTTTGTGAGAGACAAACTTCCACGTGAGGGGTCTGACCAAGGGGAGGAGCGCCTCAGTGATTCCTCAAAGAGTTCACCCAACACCAACTTGCGGGCAATTTTGCAGCTTAGTCAGGAAAAGCAGGCTAAGAAGGCATCTGATAAGAGGGAGGGAGGAGTAATAGGGGTCCAATTTCTACCTTGGGAGCTCAGGACCAAAGAGAGGGTCAGACATGAAGTAGGTAGTTCCCAAAGGAGGCACCAAATTAAAACTTTGAGGAATGAGTATGACAGCATAAAGTACTTATTTTACCTTCATTTTTCAGTCTGTTATTTTTTTTTCACCAGCTCCCTAGGAAGAAGGGCAGGCATACCAAATTTTTATGCAATGAACTATACATTTTTGCCAACCAAGCAACTCTCCTTTTCTTCAGTGTGCTGTGCCCGTTACCTGCATGGGCACATTATTTACAAGCCCTCCTCTGGGGAAGAAGCCTGAATCTGTCATCAGAGCTGTGGACATAAGGACCCAATTGGATACTTTTGCTTCTTCATTAACACACACACACACACACATTTTTTTCAGGCACACACTCACATTTGGAGCCCTCTTGGTTTGCAGGGTAGACAGCTGAACTTGAAATGCACTTTCTCCACAGAAAGAAGAGGCGGAGGAGGCTGGCCTAATTAGCATAGTTCTACTGCAATATTCCCAGCCTTCTTCAAAGGAGAAGAGGAGGTGGCCAGCAATGCAGTGAATTATTTAACATGGCTCTTCTAGCCAGAGCTTTTGTTACTCCCACCAAACAACCTTTTCCGGACAGGAAACCAGTCTGAGAAGGACATCATGCTTTGTAAAGGAGAAGAACAGGGAAGAAGAGGAAGGCCGTCAATGAAATGGATAGACACTGTGACTACAGCAATGGGTTCAAGGGCAGGAGTGATTGTGAGGATGGCACAGGTCGAGGCTGTGTTTTGTTCTGTTGCACACAGGGTTGCTATGGGTCAGAACTGACTCAATGGCACCTAACAACCACCACCAAAAGTCGGTAAGAGAAAGTAAGGGATTCCATTGGCATTGATTGTCAACAGGGTTCATTACGATTGCCATCCTACTGGGTATAAAAATGAACAATCTCAGAAGCTGGAAGGTGGGGGGGGATAGCTAATAGTGCAGTGCGTCCTTTGGACCCCAAGATCTCTGTGCATTGAACCTCCTTGATCTAGGAGACAGCTGTGACACCAGAGGAGGTAGAAGAGTCCACTGTAAAGTTGAGTGCTTTAAGGCAGCAGGCTGGCTTGTGGAAATGGGGTGCCTCCAGGCAAGTAACTGGAGGAATAGGTTTGCTGACTTATGGAGTTAGAAATGAGAGCCCCTTTCGGGTTGAGGCTTCAGACAGGATGGTGTTATGGCAGAGTAGCATGCCTTTGGGGCATCTATTGGCAACCCCCAAAGAGCTTTGTAACATTACCTGACCAGGGTAGAGGCCAACAGGCTGTGTGTCTGAGAAACCAAAGACCAGAGGCCAGCCTGTGAGCACAGCTGAGAAGAAGTTGTCCTCCCTGAACAATTGTATCCTGAGTTTTTTAACCTGTTAACTCCTTTAATAAACCTTATACTTGTGAGTATCATCTTTGAGTTGTGTGGTCATTGCAACTGATTATGGAACCCAGCTGAAAACTAGAGCGTTGTGGGAGGGACAGTTGGGAGTCAGAATTGGTAGGGTGGGGTTTTCTGACCTCCCCAAACCCCAAAACCAAACTCACAGCAGTTAAGTCGATGCCAACTCATAGCTGCCCTATCGGACAGGGTAAAATTGCCCCTGTGCGTTTCCAAGACTATAACTCTACTCTTTACGGGAGTAGAAAGCCTCTGTCTGTCTCAAAGAGGCTGGTGATTTGGAACTCCTGACCTTGCAGTTAGCAGCCCACAGCTTAACTCCGATGCCACCAGGGTTCATAGAAACCTGCCTTTGGTGATATTGATGTGGAGCTTGATTTCCCTTCCTCCTTGTGAAGCCCAGGAAGGTCAGATGTCACCCACTCATCATTTCATTTCTTTATACATATCCCTTCTTCGTAGTGGTTACTCATTGGGCTGCAATCCAAAAGTTCAGCAGTTTGAAACCACCTCGGAAGAGAGATGGGGCTTTCTACTCTCGTTAACAGTTACGGTCTCGGAAACTCACAGGAACAGTTCTACCCTGTCCTATAGAGGCGCAATGAGTCGGTATGAACTCATGGAAATGAGCTTGATGTTGTTGGTGTGTGTGTGTTCTTTGGGTCCTGGGCATGGACTGGTGTCAGAAACATTTTCGAAATGAGTTTAGGATTAAACTGGATTAAACCATGGGAATGACCCTGATTTTTACACTCCTCAAGACAGAGGCCTTCTTTTTTTCTTTTTCAAGAAAGAGTAAAGACACAACTCTAATTTGGCCACCTTTATAACAAAAACAAAAATCACCGCCTCACCCCTCCCACCCCACCATTTTGTGCTGAATGAGAACTGTTACTTTGAACTGGTAAGGAAACTAAAAAAACTCACTGCCATCAAGGCGATTCCAACTCATAGTGACCTGATGGGACAGAGTAGAACTGACCCTGTGGGTTTTTGAGACAAACTCTTCACACGAGCAAAGAAAACAAAGCAAAATCTCATCCGCTTGTAACAGGGCTGGTGGCTTCAAACTGCTGACCTTGCAGTTAGTAGCCCAACCTGGAACCCACTAGACCACGAACCCTCAGGTAGGAAGGAGCTTTTAAATGAGAGCCCTTTAAACTATTGCCTCCTTCAGATGAAGGGATTAGAGAAGACCAAACAGTTCTCAGGAGGGAGGATCAGGAGGCTTGGTTTGGGGGCAGGGAGTGGAATGTAGCCCTGGGTGTACATCCCTGGTGAGTTGCCCTAATTCATAAATAGGGTGGCCACAGACCAGGAAGTTTTTATGCCCCAGTCTTGAAGGTAAGCTCTCAACAGATGTTTGCGGAGCAAATAAAGTTCCCAGGAATTCCCATGTTGATTTTAAAAGACTAATAAGAGACTGAACCTACTCAGTAGGAGTCAGGCGCACAAATGCATAATTTTTGTTTTCAAAATGTAGAGGAGTCTTTCTTTTTATTTTTTTACATTTTTTATTTTTTTAATCATTTTATTAGGGGCTCATACAAATCTTATCACATTCCATACATACATCAACTGTGTAAAGCGCATTTACACATTCATTGCTCTCATCATTCTCAAAACATTTCCCCCCCACTTAAGCCCATGGCATTAGGTCCTCATTTTTTCCCCTCCCTCCCCGCTCCCCCCTCCCTCGTGAGCACTTGATCATTTATAAATTGTTATTTTGTCATACCTTGCCCTGTCCGACGTCTCCATTCACCCACTTTTCGGTTGTCCGTCCCCCAGGGAGGAGGTCACATATAGATCCTTGTAATCGGTTCCCTCTTTCCTACCCACTCTCCCTATACCCTCCCAGTATCGCCACTCACACCACTGGTCCTGTAGGGATCATCCGCCCTGGATTCCCTGTATTTTCAGTTCCTATCTGTACCAGTGTACATCCTCTGGTCTAGCCAGACTAGCAAGGTAGAATTCGTGTCATGATAGTGGGAGCGGGGAGGAAACATTTAGGAACTAGAGGAAAGTTGTATTTTTCATCGTTGCTACATCGCACCCTGACTGGCTCATCTCCTCCCGGAGACCCCTCTGCAAGGGGATCTCCAGTGGCCTACTGATGGGCTTTGGGTCTCCACTCCGCACTCCCCCCATCATTCACTATGGCAAGATTTGTAGAGGAGTCTTTCTGCAGATAACGTACCTCTCAGGGTCAGCAGGTAGAAAACACACACACACAGAAAACCCAATCGCCTTGCTTGTCTCTTTAAAAGTGTGGTCAGTACCTTTGTGCATTTCTAAAACCACCTCCATTTCAGACCCCAAGAAGTGCTCTTATTTCTGAAACGTTAAGCAGAGAGAGAGAGAGAGAGAGAGAAAGAGAAGGGGTGGGGGGACTTCCACCTAATCTCAGCCTCCCAAGCACCAGAAGGGAGTCTGGTGAGGCATCCAAGAAAGACATGGCACACGTGTGACCTGCGAATTACTAACACATTTACTGAAAAATACCTGAGGGCCTTTCCATTCTGTCAATGTGAGGGCGGGGTCCTGTGGTGGCTTGTCCATGGCTGTGATGCTGGAAGATATCCTCTGGCATTTCAAATGTCAGTAGGGTGACCTATGCCTAGGGCACAGGTTTCTGCAGGGCTAGAGGTCTAAGTAAAACGAGCTAGCAAACAAGGCCTGGCAAGCGACTTGGGAAAATCAGCCAAGGAAGACCATGTGGATCACAACAGGAGGGGAGGGGGCGTCACCAAGTTCATGGGGGAAAATGCCAAGATACTGTTTGTGAAAGTCCATTATCTTTTGATTCCACTTTTCCACAAACTTTTTGAAGCAGCCCCCCACCCCCCCTGAGGTCTGATGCAGTGTTGGAGGATGTGCCCCCTAGGTTGGCAGATACTCAAAACGCGCAGTGGCTGCAAACAATGGACGTCAGCCTATCAACAACTGTGGGTGTCTGCTTCTATCTTGTGCTTACACTCTTTAATGAGGGGGCTTCAAAAAGTCCTGGGAAAAGGTCAGTATCTTTTAACTTGATTTTTTTTCCCCCTTGAACCTTTTGAAGTCCCGCCCCCCACCCCACCCCTGTGTAATGACAAGAGATCGACTCCAGCCCCGCCCTACAGGAATCCTGTCTATTCGCAAACCAAAGACAACCAATTCCAAATGGAATTATAATCACATGCATAAAGTCCAAATCTGCGGCCGGGGCGCTGATTCCCAATCACAGCGAACATTGAGGGCACAATCGAACTGCTCCATAGGGTTTCCGAGACTGTAAATCTTTAAAGGAGCAGAAAGCCTCATCGATCGCCTGCAAAGCGCTGACCCGGTGGTTAGGAGCTCAATGCTTATCCCACGACGCCTCGCGGGCTAATCACAGGCGTTTGGACTTGCTGCCATCGAGTCAAATCGGACTCATAGCGACCCTATAGGACCGAGCCCAACTGTCCGTTTGAGTTTCCGAGGCTGTAACTCTTTACGGAAGCCGCCAGCCCCAACTCTCTCCCGAGTGGGAATCGACTCGATGGCAGTGGGTTTGGGGTACTGCTTGGTTGAAAACGGACCCACAGGGATGAATTCAATCCCGGACCTGAATGAAGGGTGACCTAAGGACCATCCATCTTGGGGGTCCCGAAAGCCTCTACCGGACGGCGTCTCTTTTGACCGCGGTACTGATCCCAGTGTTGACAAAGTGCAAAGAGTCGCACACCACCAGGAACTTCAGGAACCATCTTGACTGCTGCCTAGACTAGAGGCCCCGGCTCCTCAATGCCAGCCCCTCGCCCGCCCAGTCCCACCCAGGAAGACCGATCGACGCACCGCCCTCCCCTTCCCGCGGGTCCTGCCGCTCCTCCGGGGGACACTCACCGCCGAGGCCTCTGTCCTCGTCGAGGAGCTCCTGGTCCCCCACTCTCGGCGGCTCCTCCTCGGCGGACTCCGCCACCACCTCGGAGCGCCGCTCAGGGGGAGCGTCCCCCTCGGGCTGCCGATCCTCGTCCGCCGCCGGCGGCTCCAGGCCAAACCAGCTGCTCAGACCGCGGAACATCCCGCCGGCGGGGCCGCCGCCGCGGTCCCGGTGCCCGGAGAGCCCCCCGGGTGCTGTCAGCGCCGGACTCTCCCCGGTTCCTCGTCTAAGGAGATGGCCGGAAGTAGGAGCAACCCCAGAGGGAGCCCTCGGTTTCCACGCCTCTATGGCAACGCCTCCGTGGGCCGTTTGTCTACGTCACTTCCGGCCGGAAGTCCCCAGTCGCGACGCTGATTCGTTTGGATAACTTTATTGTCCGCTAACAGGGTGGACAAAAAGCTTTCACTTGGGCGAAAGCCGCTCTCGGTTTGGGAGTCTTCTCGATGCGGGGGGTGGGGGGGTGGAGGGAGGGAATAGACTTAGCCAGCTGTGTCGGAAAGGTGCTAGGGTCTAAGATCTAGTCTAAGACTTAAGTGGCGAGGGGGGGCGGAGAGACAAATGCAATAGACCCTCCCCTCCCCTCCTTGCAGTCAAATTCTCATTTACACTTAAGAATGTTCTAATTCTCTAATTCAGCAGGTTTGGATGAACAAAACTATCTGGGCATATAAGCCTTTTAGATAAGGAATGGAGCCTGAGACCTTGAAGGGGTGACAGGATGTCTCCCTTTCGAACCAGGCCTCCTTTGCCCCCTTGCTGAAGCGCTGTGTGCATTGCAACAGACCTGGGGAACATTCCCCCAACATTGCCCTTTGCCTACTTGACCCAGGACACAGGAGATGTGTCCCCATCAATCTGGAACGTGCTGACCCAGGGCTGCAGCCCAGCCAAACTTGAAAGAAAAGAGCATGAAACCCATGGACAGACTAAGTAACTAATTCCCAAGTTGCTTGATCATCCACTGAGCAGGCAACCTCCCCTTTCAAAGTGCCAGTTCAAAACCACATGTGTTCCCCAAGAGAACATCTCTTCTCAACTCGCCAGGGGGAGACCCGTTTGCCCTTCACTGAAGTTTTGGGAAGCTTTAACCCTGATGCTTCCGTCGGTCAAGCAGGTGCAGAAAGAAGCTTAGAATTTCTGGAATTAATCCGGTCTTGGTAATTTGGCTAAAACCGTGACAGGCATCCCGATCCACATCAGTGGCATCATTCCATATCTCAAAGGCCTCGCTTAAATGGTGTTACAATTCCAGCGCTGATTAGCAGCAGGCTCGCTCTTTTTCTTCCCGGTGTCATTCTGAGCCTGACCTAGGTTTATGAATGTCGGTTCTTTGCCACAGCCCTACTTTGGTTAGTTTCTCGTTTTATGCTAAGATCAGACACTACCGCACTAAGAAGACATATTAAATGGGCACAAACCTAACAAAGATTGTGAATAGGGTATGAGATTTTCTGTTCTGTAGTACACAGGGCCGCTATGATTCAGAACATTAAATGTCAACACTTCGTGACTGTTACTAAGGCGCTCCGGCCCTGCTCAGCTCAGGGTGGGTGCGGCCTCCGTGAAAATGGATATAGCGTTGTTATGGTTGTTAAGGTGACCAGACGTCCCGATTTTTAACAATTTGTCTTGCGTCCCGTGGCATTATTAAAAAGTCCCGATTTTTGGAAAGAATGCAACACAAGCTAGGGGACGGCGGGAGAGCAGGAAGGGAATACTGTAAACGGTTTTCGGCTGCCATATGGCTGTTTCGCCAGGATATGAGATTTATATTATTTTTGTTAATTTTATAACGTTAAACTTTAATAATAACAAATAATTATTGAGAACTGATTATCGAGAACTGCTTATCAAAGTTTGCATTGTTGATCAGTTGTTAGAATTCGACCACCATTGTTTGGACTTAATGAACAATGGCATTTTTTGGCATTGGCAACAACGAAAACATTTTGTAACTGTCTCTCAGACGATACACATCGTACTGCGTGCTAGTGCTAGTTAAACAAGTGATGTCAACAAATCAGCTATTCAGATAATTTAGTTAAGTAATTTATTTATTTCATAAATACATAAATTTTCTTGAATTTAGCAGACAGTACTCGTATTCTTTATATTTTATAGTGGCGGGAAAAAATCTAGCGCCGGCCTTGAAAGTGACACTTATGACTTACATTATGGCAAATTCAGAGAAAAAAATAATACAAGTTAGTATTGTTATCATTTAGAAAGAAATATAGGATTAAAATTAAAATAATTTAAAATATATAGTTACTTTATAACAATCAAATTAATTTAATTTATAAACTAACAATAAAATGTGTTCATGTAATTATGTACCAACTTGCTGTGTTTTTAAGCAATAGGTATATAATAATTTGTAATATAATTTTAAATTAGTTTTTTTAGATTTTTAACATAATGAGTAAGAAAAGAGGATGCAAATTCAATGATGATCTAAGAAGTGAATTTCCTTTTATTAAAAAACAGAAAACAAAAGCGGTTACATGGTAAAATGTGAGAAATGTAATGGTGAATTTTCTGTTTCTCACGGTGGGAAGAATGATATTTTAAAGCACTTGGAGACACAGAAACATAAACGATATTTAAATACTGCTGCATCTTCCTCCAAAATACAGGATTTTTTTTCGGAAAACAACTTATGGAGACGAAGAAAAGAAATTAGCATTAGCAGAGGGACTTATGTCTTTTCATGCTATTAATCACAATCATTCCTTCAGATCTATGGACTGTACATCACAAGTTGTCAAAAAGTTATTCAACAAAAAATTTACCTGTGCTAGAACAAAATCCGAGGCAATGTGTGTAATGTGCTTTCCCCATATGCATTTTCAGAATTAAACAAAAATCTAGAAAAAATTAATTTTATATCCATATATTCTGATGCATCTAATCATAAGGATATAAAGTTATTTCCAACCATTATTAGATTTTTTGATTTGGAAACTGGAATAAAAATTAGAATTTTAGAATTCATTTCTGTGCTCGGCGAAATTTCTGAAATAATTTTCGGTTCCATTATTAATATTTTGGAAAAAAACAATTTAAAACAAAATGATTGCATATTGTGCAGACAACATGAACGCAAATTTTGGAGGAAAAGCGAGAAGAGGTACAAATAATATTTTTTATAAATTAAACAAAAACCTTAATCAAGACATTATTGGTGTTGGTTGTGCAGCACACATAACGCCATTCAAACAGCTGCTGATTTGTTTCCCGTAGATGTGGAAAATATTGTTATTTAAATATATTCTTATTTCTATATATACACTGTGCGCGTTGAAATGCTTAAAGAATTTTGTGAAACTGCGGAAGTCAAATATCAGAAAATATTTGGATACAGTAAAATGTTCTGGTTAGCTCTTTTGCCAGCTGTCGAAAGAATTTTGAAAATATACAATCCTTTGAAATCCTACTTTCTGTAACAGGATAAATGTCCTAGAATTTTATAAAAGTTTTTTTAAAAAGAATCTTCATTTGGCTAGAGTTTGTACACAATCAAGCGGCTCTTTTTCAAAAGGCTATAAAACTTATTGAAGGTGACAAAATTTCGGTAATCAAAGTAGCAAATGATGTTAATAATTTAAAATTTCAGTGTCAAGAGCGGTTAGAATGTAATTTTCTTCCATTAACTATCCGTAATAGTATAAACCAGCTAGAAGAACATGGTGCAATAAATCATGCACATATCATGAATCACGTTAAAAAGTTCTATAGTAACTGCATAGATTATTTAGATTATTATATTATCAATGTTATAACATAGATTATTATATTATCAATGTTACAATGATATTGAACATTTTCATTGGTTTACATTAAAACAAGAAGTTAATTGGAATGATGTGAAAAAATCATTCGATCATATTACTCAAAATTTCCCATATTGTAATAGTTCCAAAAATGATCTTTTTAATGAGGTATCATTATTAAAAATATATTGATAAGGAAAAGGCTAAATCTTGGGCATCAGCAAAAATCACAATAGAGAACAAATGGTTAGAAATATTTCATTATTTTGAAACAAACCATACAATAATGCACTAAAAATTGTGGAATACGCGCTGTCCTTACCAGAAACTAATGCTGTGACTGAACGTGTTTTTTCTATGGTAAATACAGTGTGGACATCAGAAAAATCACAATTAAGTGTTCAGACTTTGAAAGCCATTTTATGTGTGAAATATAATTTAACAAATTCTTGTGAAAAATTTCATGACCTCTTAAACAACGACAGCAATCTACTAAAAAAATTCACTCAAATGAGAAATATGCCAAAGAATAAAATAATACTATACATACTTTTTTAAATGTATTATATTTGCAAATTGTACTTACGTTGAAATTAAAAATATGTTATAATACTATTTTTGCGTTCTATGAAAATTTTTGTTGCTCCATATAGACCAAATTTTTAATCAAGAACCCCCCACCCCCACCCCGTCAATGGTGTCCCGCTTTACCAATGTTAAAATCTGGTCACTTTATTGTTAGGGGCATCGAGTTGGTTCCAACGCAAAGCAACAACAGGACCAAACACTGCCTGGTTTTGCACCAGCCTCATAATTATTCTTCTGTTTGAACCTCCTCAAAAGCACAATCAAAACTGGCACAAAGCTCTTAAGTCCTATGAAGTTCAGAGCCCGGGTTGCCGTCCATGGGGTAACTAGCAAGTTCTAGACCCATGTGGTTTGTAAGGGTCCAGAGATAACTTGTACTCACGCACACACAAACACTCACACACACAGAAACACACACACAGGAGCAGCCAAGAGTTAAACCACAGTTTTATGGAAACAGGATCATTTCAAAAGAAATGAGGCCTTCATGAGGGATGAGGCCACCTTAAGCATAGATAAGATTTGCTGCACTCTAGAGGTGGAGCGGGCTCTCCCTGGCAGGTTGAGAGGGGTCATGGTCTAGGGGAACACATGTGGTTTTTAAAAAAATCATTTTATTGGGGGCTTGTACAACTCTTATCACAATCCATACATCCATCCGTTGTGTCAAGCACATTTGTACCTTTGTTGCCACCATCATTCTCAAAACATTTGCTTTCTACTTGAGCCCTTGGTGTCAGCTCCTCATGTTTCCCCCTCTCTCCCTCCCTCCCTGCTCCCCCTCCCTCATGGACGCTTGATAATAAATCATTATTATTTTGTCATATCTTACACTATCCGACATCTCCCTTTACCCACTTTTCTGTTGTCTGTCCCCCAGGGAGGA